TTAACTTTTCAAATCACAACTTTCTAATTTAATACAATACATAACATATCCATATCTCATTTTTAGTATAAACCATCTTTCAAAGAATAACATGGTCAAGAACCCTAAGGTTCCTGTTTTTCTCTCTCAGTCGACCCAAGTAGCTTACAGTTTCACTGTTTTTCTTAAAAGTACACTGTATCTGCTTATGAAAAATGCAGTGGTATGGAATTTGAGAGGGTACGAAGGAAACTGTAAGCATCACAAAAGCAGAAGCACCGTACGATGCCTCAGTATAACCAGTTGTAATAATCACAAAGCTTTCAAAAGAAGCCAGGACAATGTTACAAAGCCAACGAGGATTCACAAACATTTCACCCCCCCGCCTCCTACTGCCTACAGGGTGCCTCTCAGCACCCACTGAAGCCCTTTCTGGGCAGCAGCACAAAGCTGGTGGCCCCAGGGCACATGGCACCAATTGTAGGACAGGCCCCACAGCTCCCAGAGCATGGCACCGACCCACCTGGACCACTGGGCCTGGAAATCTACTGGGCCCTCCTACCCAGAAAAGGCAGCACAAGTAGGAAAACCAATTTGGATCACCTCTGGCACATACACCCTGGGCTTTCAAGCCTGTGCCTGCACATTGCTGTCTATCTAATCTGTGCCGTACTGGCGATTCACAACCAACAGTTAAAATCTGTGCTGGTCTCAAGCATCAGCCGCAAACCTTCAGCAACACTGACGCTTGACTGATATATATATATATGTATATAGCATATATGAATAATCTGCAAAATTCAAAACCTGCACAACGCCTTCTGCTCTGCTCTAGAGCCTTCCCTTTCTCTCCTTACCAGTGCAAAAGACACCCTCCATTCCAGCCAGCCTGAGTCTCTCAGCCCCACGCTGTGTCACTGCACACAGACCGCCTCTGCCTCCCTGCAGCGCTGCCATCAGCAGCTGGCACTGGAGAACCACAGACCTGCAGCAAAAGCTTTTTTTTTTTTTTTTTTTTGGTTTTTTTTTTTGGTTTCTTTTTTTTTTTTTTTTTTGCTTTTTTAACCTGGCATACCCCAGTGACAACAGTTCATCAGCCACCTTCTGACCAAGTCCCTTCACTGTGCAGCCACCGACGGAGGCGGCACGGCGATGTCATTCAGCTTGCTCACTTCCATCTGCCAGTTGGGCAGCTTCTTGGCGGAGAGGTGCCGCCGCGCGTGCTTCGTCAGGTGGTCGCTCCTCATGAACCGCCGCTCGCACATGGGGCACGCAAACTTCTTCTCCCCCGTGTGCGTCCTGCGGTGCCGGGACAGCTCGTCGGAGCGGGCAAACCTCCTCTCACAGCCCTTCCAGCTGCAGCTAAAGGGCTTCTCTCCTAGAAGAAGGAAAGCCGTGAACACTGAGCAACCAACGCTACTGGCTTGACTGACAGCAGCTGGCTTTTCGAAAAAAGCACTTCCATTACAACCAAGCTTCATATAAATCTTACTTACTTTCATATATATGAAATTTAAAAACATTTAAACATTGCAGACTCACTATCATCAATACTAAGTAGTGCAGGAGGCCTGAAAAGTCCTCCGAAAAACAAACTGAGATGCTCCCTATGCCTGCACACAGGGCTGATTTTAGCTCCGAGCCCCATGGGTGCCACAGATTATGGTGCCTTTGGTCAGGTGACCAAGTGCTCCCCCTTAATGCAACCCATAACGATGTTGGTCCCGTTCCCATGTAACGGAGCTCTGGCAGCACATCATGAGTCTCTGTGAAAATGCACGCCCCTCTTTTCACTACTGTGAATAAGAGCTGAGACATGAAGTTGTTCAGAGATAACCAAAGTGGGAATAGCTTTGATTGGACACTTGCTTTTGTTCATGAAAGAATCCCTTTAAGTTAACCTTAACCTACTTCTCACAAAGGCATTCTTGTGTAGAAGCCTAATAAGGCATCTGTAACTACAGAAAAGCCTTTTCTACATTTGGGCAGGGCCTTGCTTCCAATGCTTGCAAGATATGTTGCTGTCTGCCTTTTGACATGGAGCAAAGCCAGCACAAACTCCTGAATCAACTTCCCCCCGGGGTATTTCCTCTCACAGATTAGGTGGCATTACAGTGCACACAATGAGAAAGAAGCCTTTCATTGCTGCCCCACAATATGCTCTATGAACAAACCCAGTAACTACGAGATTCTTAACAAGTAGTGCATACAGCCGCAACGTCATGTTAACTTTTAACAGCCCGAATGAGTGACCAACCTGTGTGTGTTCGGACGTGAGCCTTCAAATGGGAGCTCTTGAAGTAAGTTTTCCCACACCCCGGGTAGTTGCAAACATGACTTCTTATTCTCGAAGAATCAACCGGAGGAGCAACTTTGGCTCCAGAAGGTGCAAAGCCAGGAGCGGGGGCAATAGGAGAGAGCCTCGTGCCATTTGGGCTGAGGATCGGAGCCTTCGCGCTCGGCACAACTGGCTGGGGCACAACAAACATGACAGCGCCCTTGGGGACCTGTGTGCCCATGAGCACCATGGGCTGGCAGAGCGCAGGTGGCCGGCTGGCTGCAGCACCAGGCACCACAGCAGTCATGACAGAGTTGCTGGTGGGCAGTGGGACCATCTGGCAAATGACCGGCAAGGGGGGGGCTGCGTTTCCCAGGACAGAGCACGGGGCTGCCATCGGTGCTGGCTGCTGTGCTGACCCAGGGACAGATGGATGCCTGCTGACCACAGGCTTTGTCGAGCGCTCAGGGCCAACAGCTGGCTCTGCAGTTTCTCTTTCTGCAGCTGGCAATCGTCTGCTTTCATAACTCACTCTGCTCAGTGCCGTAGCCGAGCACTCTTCGTTGCTGTCCAGTTTGCTATCAGTGTCCCATGCAGCACCATCCTGGTATTTCAGTACACTGGCTGTTCTCGCTGGGCAGGTTTTGCGATTGCAGAGCTGAGCATCGGCCGTGTGCCGAATAACGCTGGTTGCTTGGGCCTTCAGGGCTCTGGGCGCGTGCGGCTCAGCCTCTCCTCGAGGTGTGGGGGTGGTGTGGGACAACTCCAGGTCGGATGGGCTGTACGGAGGGGTCAGGCACTGCAGGAAGAGGCGAGATTAGGGAGACATTTAACAACCTGCTGCCACGCGTTACCGACTGCTGCCTCACAGACACAGAGAAACGAGCTTGCACATGGTAAGCACTTACAAATGCGGGGATGGTGCTGAAGTCTGCCACTCCAGGAAGCAGGGTCTCATCGCTGTCCTCTGACATGTCAGAGGCTGGGGTGATGGGTCTCATGTCTGCATGTTTCTTCAGGTCAGTCTTCCAGTTGCAGCTCATAGAAATCAGGGCCTCAACAGCCTCGTAATCGCCTTTCTCAGGGGTGTTGTTCCAGAAATACTGAGCATCTCCCTGCTTCTCAGTCATCATCGCCATTTCTTCTTCCTGTTTGGGTCAGAGTTCAATAAGCCTTTAACTCGATGGTCTCGGCTAGCTAACAGCATGGAGCGCCTCGTGCAGGGAAAACGTGCATGATGACACGGGGTACAGCTACACTGCCCTCCTGACAGGATGCCTTCTTAAGTCATCTGTGGGGAAATCTGCCATTTGGTGAGGATGACACAGCTCCTTGAGGCCAAACAACTTCCCCAAACCTTAAGCAATAGTTCAAGTTATTCCATATTGTTGCGGCTGAAAGCTTAAAACGACAAAACGCAACACGGGACGGAGCCCAGATCCCCCCTCCCGCCGCACCCTCCTTCCGTTCCCGCTTCGAACCCCCGCTCTGACCCGCGGCTACGAGAAGCCCAGGGCCGCTCCCTTCGGAACGCGTCAGCCGCCACTCGGTGTTCCCACAGCGCTCAGGAGCGCACGCAGCCACGTTTACAGCCGTGAGGACGGCAGCTCGGGGAGCGGCACGTCGGGACACGCACGGTTTGGCAGAACGCCGCGCGAAACAGAGCCGCGCGCCAAGAGCCGCCGGCGGCATAGCTCTGGGGGATCTCCGTGGCGCGGGGCAGCGCCGAGGCACGGCCGCACAGCCCGTCCCCGCCCCCGTCCCCGCCCCCATCCCCGGCGGCCGTTGGGCGCGCGCCACCGTCACCTCGGCGCACCCCGCCGCCTCGCCCCGCCCCCGTCCCGCCCCCATTGGCTGCCCCGGGCGGGGCGCGGTCGGGGCGGGGGCACGCGAACAAAGCGTGATCGGCGGCTGCTGGGAGCGCCGCGCGCCGACCTTTCCCCCAGTTCGCCGCGCTCCCGCCCCCGCCCTCAGAAGGAGCAGGAAGGGAGCTGCTCAGCACCGCGCCGCATCGCACCGCGGGGATGGGGCTGCGGCCACCGCGTCCGGTGGCGCGGCTGCTCGCAGTACCGCTGCCCAACGCCCACAGCTCAGCCCGTCCCGCTGTCCGGAGCTGGACGCCCGGCTCCCCGCCCGCGGTGCCGGCGGCGCCCCCCGCCTCGTACCCTTCGCTCACCCTCACGCCGCCGCCCGCCCGTCCGGCCGGCCCCCGGGCTCTGCCGGTTCCCCCGTCCCGCCGTGCCCCTCCTCCTGCGCGCCCCCCGAGCTGCCCCTCCCGCAGCCCCCGCTCACCGCGCGCCGTGCCGGGACCCCGTGCCGCCGCCGCCGGCCGTGCCCACGCCGATTTTCCTCTTTTTGTCCGCCGCTCCCCATTCAGGTGGCGGCGGCTCCAGCGCCCCGCGCGGGTGGGCGGGGCGTCGCCTGCCCAGCAGCCAATCGGCGGCAAAGGTGTGTGAGGCGGCAGCCAATGGGCGCGGGGCGCCCCGCGCGTGATCGGCGGCTGCCCCGCGGCGTGGCCCGGGTGTCGGCGCGGCGTGGCTCGGGAGTCGGCGCGGCGTGCGCGCTCCCGCCGTCATCCCGGCGGCTGAGTCAGTGCATCCGGGCGGGGGCGGCCGCCGCCTCCCCGTGAGGTCACGCGGCCCCCCGCCCCTCCCCGCGGCGCGGAGGTGGCGCCGGGCTCCTCGCGGTGGCGCCGGGGGGATGCCCTCCTCCCCGGGTTCCCCGCCGCTCGCGATCGGGGGGGTCACGGCTCGGTGCGCGGCGCCCCGGCTGTGCGCTGCGGCATCAGGGGCACTGGGGAAACGCCCGCGGAGCGGCGTCTGCTCTGCCCGTGTAAATGAGTGCGGTACGCAATGTGAAATGCTGTTCGCCTTGTCGGTCTGCTGCTATGGCAAGGTACCGGCGGTATGTGCCGCCGAGGTGGTGGTGGGGTAAGGGGCTGGAAGTAAGCAACTCTTTGCGGCTTCTCACAGAAAAGACGTGGAAGTGCTGGAGCGCGTCCACAGAAGGGCGGCAAAACGGAAGGGTCTGGAACACAAGTCTTACGGCAGCGGCTGAGGGAGCTGTGATCGTTCAGTGTGGAGAAGGGGAGGTTCAGGGGAGACCTCGTTGCTCTCTGCAACTGCCCGAAGGAAGGTTGTGATGGGCTGGGGACGGCCTCTTCTCCCAGGTAACAGCGATGGGATGAGAGGTGAGGGCTGCGTGCTGAGAGCAGTGCTTGGCTGGGAACTGGGCAGCGAACGCTGACAGGAGGCGGTAGGGATGCAGCCAGGGCTGAGGGACCATGAGAAAGAGGGGGCTTCGTGCCAGAGGGGATAGATAGGCTTCGTGTGCCCAGATCCCTGAGGCCCTGCCATCCTGGTGAACGTGTCCTGGAGCAGCATTTCAGGCTGCTGGGTTGAACTGGGAGGAGCAGCCCCCAGAAAGGAGAGACCAAACTGTTCTTTGGCTCCTGCCCCCCGTGGGAGCTCCGTTCCCCACACATCCCTGGCATCCATGGAAGTAAAGCTGCTCATTTTGCTGCAACCCCTCCCGTGTGTGTCTGACTGCTCTTTCCTTCCCCTCTCCTTTCCTGCTCTGCAGGCTAAGACTGTCTACAACCACCTCTCCCAAAAATAATCCCTGCTTAAGAGGCTGGAAAACATGACAGTTTATCTTCATATGCAGAGCAGAACTTATTTGTAATTAGCTTTAAAGCTGTCGTTTATTTTACCAGCCTGATTTCCACACCAGGCGGATCGTGCATGGCTGGCAGCGCTGCATTCCTGCCCATCCTACACAACCCATCATCACATGGATGCATTCAGCACAGAGTTGCTCATGGCTCCATCTTCTCTCCAGAGTGTTTTGTCTGCCCCCGAGTCCATGCAGCCACCATCCTGCCTCGCCTGCGGGTCACTGCGTGGAAAGCTCCAGAGAGTGTTGGCAATGCTGTTGTTGACGTGGCTGCCATGGGGGTGGGGAGACTCAGACACCCCTAATAAAGCCTGAGGCAAGTGAGAGGCACTTCTTTTTGGCAAATGAGCAGTTTTCAGTTTAAAAATGTTTTTCTCTTGGCAGCCAGTGGAAGCATCTGAGCTACGGCTGTCAGATCAAATGTGTGCTTTCCCTTTGACCTCCCAAGGAACATAGGGATGTGGTTTTATGCCATCTAGGAGCAATCTGATGTGTTTGCTTTTCATTCTGAAGGTGTTTAGGAGTTTGACATTTAGCCCTTGTGGGTTATTTATTTATGCCTTTTACACTATATCTTATGTTTCCTAGAAAACCACTTGCCCAGCCTGCATGTCGTATATTTTTGATGTGGAAAGATGTGGGATTGGGGTGATAAATGAGGAAAGAGAATTGGCAACAAGACTAGAAAATCACTGGCCAACTAGGTAACTTCAATCCTATCCAGCAGTCTGAACCTGAATTTCAGCATGCTCCGTTACCTGTAGCTTACCTTGGCTTTGTCATACAGAATTTACAAGGAGCCGTAAGTGGCTCCTTTATCCTAGAGTCCAGCAAGAAGCTGTGTTGCACTTATGAAAGGGCATGAATGATTATTTTAAACCTCCCATGTTGGATGAGTACTTTCTATGGGTGTTGTGGTTTAATTAACCATTTTGAATATAACCCAATGATCAATTTAAATTACTGTTAAAAAAAATCAGATACTTAGAAACTGAATTGAAATTAAGCACTACAGAGTGAGCTTGTGCAGCTGACAAAGCCACCTGTCCATGCTGTGATAAGTGTTTTTCCCGATGGAAGCATTAGAAATACATTTGTTTGCTTTTTCATGCCCAAGCTGATCTTACTCGTTACACAGTGACTAAATTGCTGCATTTCCAGGATAAATTCCAGAGGCAAACAGATGGTGGTGTGAACAGAGCATTTTGTTTGACATACTAATGTGGTATGAATCTCAGCAGGGACTTTCCTCCTCCTCAGAAAGGTAACAGCATTTCTGCACCTCAAATATTTTGATAACAGTCATATGAATGAAGTCATATGAACTTTTCTTTAAGCCTACCTGCATTTTCTGATTTTTGAACTGTTGAATAGTTTCATCCACACAAAGCAGACAAAATAGAGCGAAGCTATCAGTAAATGTAATATTGCAGGAATAATTAACTGTGATGCCAATATTTGATCAACTCCCAGTGCATGTGTTCATATTCAAGCAAGTGAATAGTTTCTGAATAGGGAAATGCAGGTGGAGAGTGCAGGCAGTATGTTCCTCATACAGTACAGGCTGTACTGCATCCAGTTTGACTCCCTGCACCCAGGACAACCCTCCAGTATGTCTTGGCAAGCCTTGAGTTCTCACATCCCACTGCCACCTCCTGTCAAATGACTCTCCTCACATCATAGTACAAAATACACCACTGGTGTGCTGTTAAGCAATCACCTCACTGTTAGTAATTGATTTTTTTTCCCTTGAGTCATCACAGAACTAAGGGTGCACTTTAGGGACCTGTGGAGCTCAAGGCCTTGTGTCTCATTTAAAGAGATGTCATAAGAGTCATGGCTTTGCCACATAGATAGCTCTGATAGTCTTTGGCAGGACAGCAAGAATTGAGCAATACTATTTTTTTTATTATTATTATTAGGAAAAAAAAAAAAAGCCTCTGTGAAAGCCTGTTTTGGTGCTGCAGAATGCAAGTATCTCAGTTCTATCAGAGTGATGCAGGGCTGCAGGATAGATCCCTGTTTAATGTCCAGACACACAGTGTGTAAGTAGTGATGATTTTGTCAGTGGCAGGGAACCCCAGCAGTGAGACTGCCCTCATGATGAGAAAAGCTTGCCTAAAGAGTTTGTTAGGTGTGGCAGCCCCTGGACTTTGCCAAAGCTACTCAACCCTGGAGGCTTTCATGCAGGTAACACAGGAGCTGGTCGGTGGGACTGGGAGGAGCAGTGATTATGTGGGGATTGTACAGGGACCGGGAAAGGCATTTGTCTTTGGTTCTCCGGTTGTTTCAGTGCCTCAGGCAGAGGCAGGAGATGGCACAGAGCACACAGTGTGCAACTTGTCCTGACCGCCTGCATGGCAGCAGGGTGTTGGCATCTGGCTGCTCCCTGGACTCCTCCCTGCGGCTCGCTTTGGTCCTGCAACCCAGACTGCAGAGCACACACCTCATTCCTGAAGCTCAGCATGGCAGTGTGTGCCTCAGCTCTGCGTCTCATTGTTGGAGATGTACACTTTGGTCTCAAGGCTCACTGCTGTCAAGATTCAAGTTCCTCTGTCCCACAGCATCCTCGGAGGCACGCTGCACCTCAGTACCACCAAGACTTACTCTGCAGGAGCTGCAGCAGCAAGGAGGGGGCTGTGCGAGCCATAGCAAAGTGCAGAGTGATGCCCTGACACCAGGGAGGTTCTTTTGGAAGAAGAGAGCACTGGTTTGTACCTAATAGGTGAAACATGCATTACTGGTGGCATCTTCTCTGCAGACTGATCCTGAGTAGCCAGTTATGAAGCAGTTAAAGGATAGGAAAGACAACAGAATTGTTAGGAAGAGGGAGGCAATATAGTATAAAAGGTACTGGAAGATAATTTGGGTTTCTTTAAACTGTTCAGTCAGTATTACTTCAGGAGTTTCCTTCTTTATGGAGAAGGCTGTTCTCTTTACTGAGGCTGCAGCAAGTAGTGAGAGGTGTAGCTTGGAATGGAATGGAAATGCCAATAGATTTGCTGTATTCTGTGTGCTTACTTTGCTCTGGGATCTGTTATGTCTTCAGCACAAGTACACGGTATGTAAATGTAAGTAGTTCAGTACTGAATGTAGTGGTGATGTATGTAGCAGTGCTCTGTAAATGTTTGCCTGTAAGTCGGTGTGTTTTGATGTGCTGAAGCAGGGAGAACTGCTTCAAACACAGCTGAGAAGTATTTGAGTTAGGCAGCTAGTTGGTAGTTTGAGTCCTGTTCAACTTGTGATTGAATGGAGGAAAAGGTCAGCTGAGCTTTTAAATGTAACTATTAATGTTATGTTACAACGGGACTTATATAAAAATGTTCTGTCTGAAGGTGTACTTATATTCCCATTAGATTTGCTTCCTTTCTAAATTCTTCCCCTCCTGCTTCTGTCCTTGTATTACACTGGAGAACAAGGAAGAATTTGGGATGTAGTTCTGCCTTGCTCTTCAGGCTCTGCCTTCCTGAGCAAACAACCTGGCAGCTGTGGCCTGAACTACTGGTCTTGAAAAGATCTGTGCTATTTATTGCCATGTCTGGTAGATCAGAAATGGGGGAAATTACCAATGAAAATATCACAGAATCACAGAATCACAGAATTGTAGGGGTTGGAAGGGACCTCCAGAGATCATCGAGTCCAACCCCCTGCCAAAGCAGGTTCCCTACAGCAGGTCGCACAGGTAGGCATCCAGGCAGGTCTTGAACATCTCCAGAGAAGGAGACTCCACCACCTCCCTGGGCAGCCTGTTCCAGTGCTCCGTCACCTCACTGTAAAGAAGTTCTTGCTCACATTTGTGCAGAACTTCCTATGCTGCAGTTTCCAGTCGTTTCCCCTCGTCCTGTCTCCACTCACCACTGAAAACAGTCTGGCCTCGCCATTCTGCCCCCCACACCTTAGATATTTATAGACCTGGATCAGGTCCCCTCTCAGTCTTCTTTTCTCAAGGCTGAACAGACCCAGTTCACTCAGCCTTTCCTCATAGCAGAGATGCTCCAGGCCCTTCACCATCTTCGTGGCCCTCCGCTGGACTCTTTCCAAGAGATCCCTGTCTTTTTTGCACTGGGGAGCCCAGATCTGGACGCAGTACTCCAGATGAGGCCTTCCCAGGGCAGAGTAGAGGAAATCCAAACCAGGTGTCTGAAATGCTCCCTGAACTCCGGCATGGGGCCGTGCCCACTGTCCTCCACTGCCCCGTGCAGCCCGTTCCGTGCCCGCCGCCCTCCGCTGCAGCCCCTGTCCCTGACCGCCACCCGCCCCTCCCCTGACGCAGCTCCATGCCGTTCCCTCGGGCCCTGTCGCTGTCACACGGCGCAGAGCTCAGCGCTGCCCCTCCGCTCCCTGTGAGGAGCTGCAGCCGCCATCGGGCCTCCCCTCAACTCCTCTGCTCCGGGCTGCACAAACACAGCGGCCTCAGCGCTCCTCGTACATCACGCCCTCCAGACCCATCCCCATCTCTGTAGCCCTCTTTTGGACACGCTCTAATAGTTTAATCTCCTGCCAGTACTGTGACACCCAAGCTGCAGCCAGTGCTCAAGATGAGGCTGCACGGCACAGAATGGGACAGCCCTTCAGTCAACTGCTCTAAGTCCAAAGTCTCCTCTCCCCAAGGGGAAGAAGGGACTGCAGATGAGGTCAATGCCTGGAAGGCTGTAGGTGTCTATACACATACCTGTTGCAAAACAGCAGCCGAGGGCTGTGTGGTGGGGCCTGTGCTGGTGAGTGTGCTGGCTGGGGAGGCCAAGGAGACCTGGAGTGGGTAGAGCTCTGGCACAGCTCTCATGCTCCTGCTCGTCTCTGCCATGAGTGCAAATCATCTGCTCCAGAGGACCCTTGTTTGAGCAGCTGGGAAGCAGGCCAGTCTGTACTGCATGGCCCTGATCTCGAGGTTGTTCTCTGGTTCAGATAGCAAAGTGAATGTAACTGTACCCAGAGATTTGTGGGTGGGATTAATCTAAGATTAGTTGCTTGTAGCACAAGCATTTGTTTTTATAGCTCTTTTATGGCTGTTGACGTGGTGGTAAATATAAACCATGAGGTTTGGGCATGTTTCATCTTTACCCCGATACGGGATGAATTGCACTCAGTTCTGCTGACTCCATCTCCAGTGCTGATGATGGGAACCTGGATGGCTTCTGCAGGTAGGTAAGCCCACAAAGTAGATTGGTGAGGCGAGGGGAATCCCACCATGAGTACCCAGAAAGTGAGCAGAGCCATCAACTGGCAGAGGAGGGCTCTGAGGGGCAAAGCACTCAGGCCTCACTGGCTGGGTTTACTGGCCACGTTCTCTCCAGCCCAGCCATAGCACAGCCCTCTGTTGCTGAGAGATTTGCCTGAGAGCTGGGGGGAGAGAGGAGATACTGAAAATGATAATGAAGAAGCCTGAATCTTACTGTGGGACCAAGGAGAAGGAGAAGAAGGCTGTTGAGGTGGGGAACAGACAAGAGATGAGAGTGGTCTCCAACATGTAGGAAACCAAGGCTTCCTAAAACTGCCGGCTCAGCTCGTTTGCCTCTGCCCTGCATGAGAAGCTTCCATTTCCTCTCATTTCCTCTTTGTTGGGCACATGATGTGCGGCTGACCATCACTGATGCTCTGTTCTGTTGGGTGGAAATGTCCACCTTGAACCTCTTCCTGGCCCCTGGGTCTGCTTCTCTGGGCCCAGCTGTCGGAAAGGTCTCTGCTCTGTGCTGCAGTTTTCAGAATTGATTCAGAAATGTACCTTGTGTAAAAAAAAGTAAAGTAAAAAGTAAAAAGTAGGCTTTCTTATAACTAGGTCCATTATCCCAGCAGGCAATTGGCACTTGTTTCTCACTACTTCCAGAAATATTTATTTTTATGATTGATTTTTTTTTATGATTTTTTCTTTTTTTCACTTTTAACATTTCTTGAGTATTTTTCTGCTGATGGAGCAACTTGAGGTGGATTTGGTGGATAAGCTGTTTATACTGGAATGGATGACTGAAGGTTGATTGACATGTTCTTCCCAGCGGTCCATTCAGTCTCTTCATGAGCACTGCTGAAAAGTCTCAGTCTGTTCTTCAGTAGTGGCAACACAAATGGGTTCTTGTGAAACTATCTCATCTCACCTCACCCTACTTATGGACAGGAAATGCTGATATTTGACAGACAGAAAGAGCGTGATTCTGCAGCTGTTGATTCCTATGTAGTGAATTATTCTGAGAAAAACTGAAAGACAGATGAAAGATAAACTACCACCAGAAGAAGGCTTACGTCCAGCTGTTGCGTTCAGGAGCCTCTCCCGAAGGCTGTTGTTTATTTGATGACACCAGACATTGTAAAATCAACATCGATGTTGTAATGTTTATACGTGCGTGTGTTTTGCAGCTGGAATGATTACAATCATCAGTCAGAAAACGGTCCCATTCCGCTGTGAGTGGTCAGGATCACGTGGTTACCAGGAACCCTCTTCAGATCCCTCCCAAAAACAGACAGTTCCCACACCAGTGTGAGTGTAGGTGGAACAGAAGGCAGCAAACAAGAGCTGAGGAGTCTGTTGTGGGCCCCCACCCCCTAATCTGACAGAGCCTTCTGTGAGCACATTGCCATGTTTTGTTCTGTTTATATATTCAGCCTTCCTCGCAAGTATCGAGATGGATAAGCAGTGAGTGCCCTCCTCGTGGGTCCTGCTCACATCAGTGAGAGTGTCTGGGACTGGGGCTGCAACACAAATACAGACAAAAGGAGGACAAGTGGAAGTCCTTTGGTTTCTTTCATCTGCAGGAAGCTTTGACATTAACCCCAGATGAGACCAAAAGCTGCTGCCTTCAGCTCTAAGCTGTAAGGTATAGTTCCCTGGCGCAGGTCACACCTGTGAAAAGCCTCCAAGAAAGCTTTGTCTGCTCTGTCTTCTGGAAGAGAAGTCTCAGGAATTCCTACAGGTGGTGTGAGATCCCTGCTGTACCCCACCCCAGCGTTTTCTGCCTGCTGTGAGCTATGCTGTCACATTTTGTGGGTTTGATTTGCCCTTTGGAAGCGTTTCCTCACCTGCAGTGAATTACAGGCTCAGATTTCATGTAGGAGCAATCAGAGGCATTGTGAATGCTTGCAGGGTTAGTGAAATCAGTGATATGGTATTGTCCTGGTTAACATACTTGTGGAAGGCAAAGCTGAGAAGCCAACATATAGATGTAACTTATGTAGTTAAGTCTGTGTCTGAAAAGCGTCTATTAAAATGCAGAAACAGTGCAGCAGCCCATGCTAAAACAGCTTTATGAATCTGGATTGGGATGTGAAGCTGCAGCTTTCAGGAGCAGACCTGTGTCTGCATGGCCCTATAGGGACAAACCCTTCTCCTGCTCTTGGAGTGACTATAAATAGCCCAAAATCACAGCGTAGGTGGGTTTGTTTGGTTACTGCAGTGCTGTGTGGCAATTCTGGCTGGATGCCCCTAAATAATCCTACTGGCCGTGTGTACTAGAGAGCTTAAGGTTTTAAAAAGTTCTGGGTCAAATTTACTCTTGTTAAATAATCAATATTGATCAGGTCATGCGATGCACTATCCGAGCGGTCGTTCAAACACCCCATATAGTCGGAGTTCATTTTTAGGTGTTTACAGATTCAGAATCCCTGGAAGAGTAATTGCTCTGCTCATAAATCCACGTACTTGTATAGGCATGGCCCCGTGCGCACAGGCAGGAGGGATTTCAGGGATGTGCAGTGGATTTGATGCTCACTTGCTGTTTTACTTGGATACTTGAATTACTCGGACAGATCCAGAAATCTCAGCTATAACTCTGTTTGTTTTAGTACATCGAGGCAAGAACTTTCCCCTGCCAGAATTATTTTTAAGTACTCCTTTCTTGCTGCCATAAAATACAAATGAAAATGTAAGTTTAAGTGGATTTTTTAAAAGCATCTGTTTCCCTCAGCGTGCCCATCTATCACATCCATTTGCTGTTTTGATTAAGAGCGAAACTCTTAAACCACAATCTGCATAAATTTTGGACTGAGAGGGATAGCAAGGAGCTTGGCAGCACTAAGCATAAATTTAAAAATGGCTTTTTGTTGTGGGGGTTATTTATACAGATTAGACGTCCTGGAAAGTTTTTCTCATCTGAAGCCTCTCTCAGCTGTACCATTACAGAGCTGCATCAGGAAAACACCATATGGCTCTGCCAGCTGCAGTGCACACACACACAGAAGGGTATTGGTGTGCAACCAAAGAAAGGTGAAGAGTGAAATCTGTAAACAGTGCTTTATAGGTGAAAGGCTGCACAGGGCTGCGCTTACTGTTCTGTGGCCGGAGCAGGAAGCCATCACGCAGCAGCAGCAGCGTGCAGAGGCTGCCGGGCTCCTCAGCTCCCTGCTCCC